TTTCGTAACTTGGCAGTGTTTCTAAGATGGAAGAATGCTGTTTTTGTAACGTGAAATATGATTTTCAAAATACAAGTTGCTGTCTAATATAACACCCAAATTTTTGACTGTAGAGGAAGTAACACACATCCGTATAGTTGCAAATTGTAATCTAAGAGATTCTGTATACTGTTTTTCGGTCCAGGTAGTAATATCTCTGTCTTATCTGAATTTAATAGGAGAAAAGTATTTGTCATCCAATCTTTTACATTTTTAACACGCTCCGTTAGCTTAGATAATTTAGAAGTTTCATCTGGTCTTGTTGAAATATATAGTTGAATATCATCCGCATAACAATGGAAACTAATCCCGTATTTTCTAATAATATTACCAAGGGGCAACATGTATATTGAAAATAGCAGAGGGCTCAAGACAGATCCTTGCAGCACTCCATACTATACTGGCGTAAATTGAGATGATTCCCCATTTAAATAAACAAAGTGATAACGGTCGGACAGGTAGGATCTTTAACCATCTTAAAGCCTGCCTTTGAATACCCATATAGTTTTGTAATTGATCTTTGAGTATGTCATGATCTATAGCAGGGGTGGCGAACTCCGGTCCTGCATAGCTCCGCTCCAACCCTAATAAAAACTCACCTGCCTGTAGCTTCCTAGTATTCTAAGCAAGTCAAAGCCAGCCTATCCTAGTGCATTTTTGGTGCCAGGGGGATCCAAACCCTCTTGATAGATTAATATGGGCAAACAGTGTTGGGTTGTGTAATATATGACTGGATGTAATTGTAGTAGAGAGCCGTAACTTACCCAACCCAGATGTTGTCTTTCGTTCAGTACCCCCCTGCCACTTTTCAAACTTTAATTAAAAAAAAAGAAGAAAATTCTTCCCTGGTTGTTATTGTGGAATTGTTGATTGTTAGATTTTCCCTGAATCACTATATCATTAAATTATTAAAAGTGACAAATTTGCCTATAAAAACTCAGGAGGTGGTCTGATTTCCTCTCCGTCTCTTTCTCCTAAAGGTGTTCTGTCTATGGCAAACTCTGGGCCAAACACAAATGGATCCCAGTTTTTCATCTGCACTGCAAAAACAGAATGGTATGATGGTGGAAAGGTTATTGGTTTAATTATTACCCATCCCAAGTGTTTTAATTTTTTTATGGGATTGATGTTCCTGTCGTTCTCTTTCAGGCTTGATGGTAAACACGTTGTTTTTGGGCAGGTCAAAGAGGGAATGGAGACGGTCTCTTTAATGGAGTCCTGTGGCCTACATGATGGAGGAACTGTAAAGAAGATTGTCATCACAGACTGTGGAGAACTCAAGTAACCAAGAATGTGTATTCATTTTAATGTGATCAAACGTTTTCACATCAAAAATGCTTATGCATGTAAAGTACAAATCCTTTTTTTTTATTTTTATTTTTTACATTTGTGTTACCTAAGTACCTATTGCCATTTTAATGTGTCTGTCTATGGATCCATTAAGGTGTTTTATGCTTACTAGGTAAGCAAATGATTCAGTAAGTATGGTGATTACTTACCCCTACACAACAAATCTTGCTTATGGGTCAAATGCCATGGGCCATAAGGAAATTTATACTGTTAAAGCCTTTTTTTGTTTTGTTTTTGAAATTAGGATAAAAGCTAAACAGAGATTGTTTACTTTATAAGAACCATGCCAAAGAAACCCCAGGAGGTTTTTTAAATAAATAAATTACACATGAAACTGGTTTTGACATATGGAATTTCTTCCAGGATATTTGCATCCTGTGCCCAATTTAAACATTTTTTTTTTTTTTTTTATGACTCGAGGCTGTTTTCCAGATGAGGGCCGGCTACAACTGCAGCAGTATATCTGGTTGCGTGGCATGCTTTTTAAATCTTCCTGAGAATGAGCCCAAACCTTTTTTTAGACTATCCAGCGACAAGATTTCCTGCCCACCCAGCAGAATATGACATCCTGTTTGGCTATGAAGATTCTCCACTTCCAACGTTAAACTTTCAGCAAGAATCTTCTGAACATGTTCATACAATAGTTGTGGAGACAGTTGGGAATACGAGTTTGTCAGATGTATTCCATTATAACTGCAGCCAGCTGACATACACATACCCTGAAATGAAAATGAGCAGTCCATTTTAGACGGTGTGTAGGTGTAGCTTATCACAGTAATGCCTCATGAAAGTAAATTATGAACCTTTGTGGAGAATAGTGCTCTTTCCTAAATGAAACCATATGGGGTCTGAACTCACCACTGGTTTGTTTGACTTCTCCGATTGCAATGTTGCTATAGAGATATTCTCATTCCCATTCTGTTTAAGTCTACATTGTTGCAACAAACTTGATATAATTTGGGCCTCCACCCTCTTGTGAAGTTTAAGAGATTTGGAATGTGTAGACCAATTACTTAAAGTTGGCTTCAAGAGTAAAGCCAGCGTCATCGCCAAGTCCTAACGTTCACATACAGTGCTCATGTGTTTACAATCATTACAAGTAATTAGGTCGAGTTAAAAAATACACATCTGTGTCTTCAAACCTGCGCTGTTGCAAAGACAAGGCGAACGCTGAACTAAAAGAAACGCTCTTTGGGCTATTCGATAGTAAATGAATGTGATGTCAGAATGACAACTGTTCCCCAAGGCTTTAGACTATGGTTTTCAATTACACAAGCATCATTCCCAAGGACCATATCTAAATAATTAATCAGTCCATACTGCCTTCAGCTTGACTGATTCAAAATGGACACAATTTCCCAACACCCAGACACGGGCCAAAGAACATGTTGAAATCCAAAAACAGGCTGTACATATATTTGGCACAGATTGTACAGAAATGTATATCATTGTGTGCTATTACAAAAAAACGAAACAGAGTCATGATTCACTTAGTCAATGTTTTAATCGAACAAACTTCTAAAAGCACAGTCTTCAGTTTTCCTAACTAACAAATAAGGCACATATCGGAATGCCGTTTCATGGACACAGAGCAACAGATTTCATCTCGTCCCACATTCCCTCATTAGCACTTTCTGTTGCTCGGTCCACTCCAATATGATGACAAATATTTTACAGACATTACAAACATGAGTGTTAAATCAGTACATTCAGTAAATCTATTAATGGTACTGGAAATCCTAGGTGTAAATAGAGGCATTTATTTATGACTAACAATAAGAGAGGTGTATTCTACAAAAGATATCTTGGCAAGAATTAAACGTATTAATATTAAATAAGAATACATTGCACAAATGATCAATCTTGAATCATTTAAAAAAAACATGCACATGCAAACTTCAGTCCCATACACTTGTTTGAAAAATAGTCTCTTTTTTTTTTCATTTTTACATATGAAGAAAAATATTTCAACATCATTCCTGGACTTGGCAGTAACTGGAGAAGGCTAATTAGAGCTCACAGTTTCATACACACTTTCTGTTGCTCGGTCCACTCCAATATGATGACAAATATTTTACAGACATTACAAACATGAGTGTTAAATCAGTACATTCAGTAAATCTATTAATGGTACTGGAAATCCTAGGTGTAAATAGAGGCATTTATTTATGACTAACAATAAGAGAGGTGTATTCTACAAAAGATATCTTGGCAAGAATTAAACGTATTAATATTAAATAAGAATACATTGCACAAATGATCAATCTTGAATCATTTAAAAAAAACATGCACATGCAAACTTCAGTCCCATACACTTGTTTGAAAAATAGTCTCTCTTTTTTTTTTCATTTTTACATATGAAGAAAAATATTTCAACATCATTCCTGGACTTGGCAGTAACTGGAGAAGGCTAATTAGAGCTCACAGTTTCATACAGTATGGGCTTGATTCACTAACACATGTCGACCATGTAAAAGGTTTGTACGTGCAATTCAGTGTTATGGTCAATGACTGGAGTTAGTCACGTCTTTTTGCCACTGTTTTGTGTCTATAAAACACCTCCGTAAAAAGGCCCTACGACTTACAGTGCGAGTCAGTCTCTGTTATGTTAAAAACAGCTGTTTGTGATGTTGGAAGGTTTCCTATAAATGCAAATCAAAACATTCATGCTGTATAGCAGACACAAAGATTATAAACAACGTTGAAGCGCACGTATGCTCGTAACAGGTAAGGTTACTATATACCAATAACATCTAAAATAACAAAACAAATAAAATGGCTTGTAAGGGCATAATAATTATGTACCAACTTTTGAATAATATTCTATGTAGTCATCAATATTTTCTTCATAGAGTAGCTTCTGTTGCATATTTTATACAAAAAGAATTGAATTGTTAAAAAAAAGAACAAAATCCTTCCATAAATATTTCTGTAGGATATAACCAAAGATTATTGTAAAACATCAAAGGAAAGAAAAAAAAACTCCCAGATCTTTTGCATCTCAACATTTTGCCCTTTTTCACATACAAAGTTTTAATATTGCATCATAACATTTTGAAATCGCTAACTTGATGATGGTAATCGAATATATACACAAAACACATACTAGTATCTTTGTAAGGGAAAACAACACAATCTTGTTTGGATATCAAATTGCTCCAAAATCTAAATCATCTATATTGTTTCCAAAATACACATACCTTTAATAGAAAATAACAAGTTTATACTGAAAGTGAGCTATAAAAGTCAAGTATATGTATTTCAAGACAAAAACACATGCGCAAAAAGCACTTTGTATAATGTTAAATGCATGTTCACTGTCAATACCACAAGCTCTGTCTTTCATTCAATAAAGCAGAAATCAGGGGACGCTCAGTTACATAAATCTGCCTTCAACATTTACAGAACTCAGGGCTGTTTTCATTTTAGTCATGTATATAGTGCAATGCAACTATTTTGCTATAATAAAGCAAGGCCTAGATCTAGTGGTGCATTCAGTCATCTGTTAAAGTGTACAGAACTGACAATAAATTGAATTGATCCCAAAGATCACTATGTGTAGACTACCAGCTATGGGTGATCAGCAATGATTATGATGAATCCACAGTAATCGTTTATTTCACTGGTTATTTTCATTACGCCATTCATTATGGTGTTTATCAAAAAGCAGAGTAACTCGTTTCAGCCTAAATGAAGCCTGAAGTAAACCTTGGCGTGTAAGAATGTACGCACAACGAAGCCATTAACAACACCAGAAAAACACAGTTGCCAAGAAATAAAGGGTCTCAGAAAAAATGATAGCGACTCACAGAAACAGCCTTGTTTTTTATTTAACAGTGATCTAATGATTGACTCCCTGGCAGTTTATACTCCTTGAATTTCCCATCAGAAACTCAAACCCATTTTTTTAACTAAATTAGCTGGTTTACATTTTCAGACATCTAATGGCCTCTTTTATTCCTCAGCATCATACATGGCATTCCTTGGCAAAAATCCTGACTTTTCATAACCAAACTGTGTTAAGGCACTAGACGTTCCCGATTCATATCTTCATCTGAGTTTATCCCAATAAATGAAACATTAACTAATATTCAACAGAAAATATGTGGACTCCAAAGATAAGTAAACAATTATACACATTGTATTTACCATGTAAATGCGTTTAACTTCATATGTACATCTAGGATTAACAATGCAATGATGTCATTTCTCACAATATCTGTCTACGACTTCCCACTGGAACACGTAAAGCTACAATTATTGTTCAATGATCCTGGGTCACACTCAAATATGATCAATTAGTACTTTGTGTGAGCCATAACAAGAGGTAACAGCACATAGATGAGATCCTGTACACGCTTATTTCCATCCAAATATTAACACCCTCCCATCATAATGCTCTCAATAATACGTCTCTCTCCAAATGTACCCAAAGTGTTTTCTCATTACATCTCAAAAAAACTCTTCTGCATTACTTTGTCCTTCTTTTCCATTTACAACCATATATTTGTCCACTCACATAAAAAATGCTTCCCGAAAATCACAATTTAAACAGGGTGTAATTCATCAGGTACGTTTGTAGATAATGCATAAACTTGCAGATATGGGGTTAGGCAATAAAGACATTTAAAATTAAGGATTTCATTCTGACTGAAATACGATCAGAATGATTGTGTAAACAGCGGCGAATTTCTTTAATGAAACGTTTTAGTGCAAGGGTCAGATTGAACACTTAAAAATAAAGGTTCTTTAGGTTATTAAAATGTTCTTCACACTAAGAAAAAATGGTTCAAACAAATGGTTCACTGTAAGGTTCTTCTGCGAACCCAAAATGGTTCTTTTATAAGCATTGTTGTGGAAAAAAAATCTCTTGTAACTTTTTTTTTAAGAGTGAAGGACGTGAATGACTCATTTTGAATTTAAAAATGAATGTGTTGCATAATAGTGAAATGAATTAATGACATTTTCTAGAGCAGTGTTTATATAAAACACGTGCACAGTATTTCATCTGAGATGTGTCATTAAAACACACTCTTTATCCTGAGGCAAATATCTCAGTGAAGAACAGGTGTTATGTTTTTAAATGCTAGCACGTGGACTGAAAAGCTCACATTTTGACCCCTGTACCAAAACACCTCAGCTTTACATGGGTTTGTAAGACATTTGAAGCAGTTCTCTGGCAACAATTGACAACATACATAATCACATTTCAAAGGACGGTGACGATCAGCTAGCCATGGCTTTGTTTCGATCATCCACACACTTCATTTGACTGCGCAACAATGTAAAGGAACTGATGATTCTGCATAAGCTGCAATGGTTTTGCATAGTTTCCAACAACTCAATTCAAAGGTTATGGGTGCCTCCAGGGCTGACCTTAGCCAACTTGACAAAAATATCTCACATTTGGCATTTCAAACATGTATGTGAAAGATATAAACTACCTGACGCGCTAATCCGAAGCATTAGAAAGTTCTATTCTACAGTAGTTTCTAATGGCAAGAGGTGGGGTTAGACAATACCTGTCCAGATACAAACACAGATGAAATTATCCCAGTTTACTTAATTCAATTGCACTACGAAACCATATACAAACATAAATAAATATGTGACACAAAAGCTAGGGATGGAAAGTCCATTGTCCCTCTGTTAATTCACAGTTAATATGATGTGCTATTGACCCAAAAACTCTGCAAAGGCACACTGGGCCCTTGTCTGAGCAAACTAACGTGACACCTTTAGTGCTCGGCACATCCTCATAGTTCACTTGGCAGGGAGAATGAAGGGAGAGTC